AGGCTGACAGTCATATAAACATGCTCCTCCTGATTTGGTTAAAAGGAAGTCTAGAGCAATTCTGTATCTAAAACAAACTTCCTGAGATGGTTGTCTGTAGACTGTCCCAAGACAGTGGCTGTGGTGGAAGTAACATCTGCCATGGTCGGGGACATGTTTATTTATGTATTTTATTTTTCAAAATCATTGACTCCTGTGGATAGTTTGAAAGATCCGATAAAGGACACAAACCTAGAGTCAATTATACCTCCTAGTATGGCCCTAGTGTGCTTAAGGGAAAGTTCTAGGCTATTGGCCCAATGGTGCTTCTCATTCCCAGAGGTGTTATCTATGGGAACCCCAAGCACACCCAATGTGATGCATCCTACTGCCTTCTGAGTTTTCAGACATGACATTGCCTATCCCATTTTAGTTGAAACCCAGAGTTCCCATGGAAGAAGTGGTAGCCCTCAGGTGAACATAGCGCTCTTCTCCTGCTTTGTTTTCCATTGGCCCACTCATGGGTATGGAGGTATCACCATCCATCCCCTCAGTTACAGTTGCATGAGCTCAGGTTCCCCATACAATATTGTTCATGGAGTCCCTGCATAAAGGGCTAGTATTGGTCCAGGTTTTGTTTTCATCATTGCCACAGGGACACTTTCTGTTTATGTAATGGGAAGAAAGTGGTGTGCCAAAGTAGCAGCCCACGAGGTTTTGCTAGTTGCGGTCATGGCATTTTGCCACCATAGGCCAGTTAGGGCAGCTCTGTCTCCTTGTCATGTGGCAGGAACCAGATCTTCACTGGGCAACCCAGGCTTTGGTTCTGTTGCTGCACGCTGGTGCAACTTGCCTCTGGTGAGATGAGAGGGCTGCTATAGCTTGACAGAAGGAGGTCCAGGTGGCAGTAACATTTTCATAGGCTATCCACAGTGACTACAGCTTGGGAGAGCCTAATGAAGGCACTCTGCTCCCAGGCCTGTGCAGCCATGTCCTTTTAGGAAAGCAGACTGACAAGTTAGTTCTCCACCCACCACCTTTCCCAGGGTCTCAGGTGTGTTCTACCTATAGGGTATGACTGGGCTGAATTAATGTAGTCACTCGTCTAACTGTCCCAGTGCAGAAGCTACTATCTCTGAGGGCACTCATTGATTTTTGCTTGTTTGTTTGACCCAGATCTTTTGTCCTCTATCTTCTAGTTCAGAAGGTAGGAAACATCTTGTACAAACATGACGTGTCTGAAAGCATCATCCACCTGACTGGGAGGATCAGACATTCTACCCTCTCTAGAAGGACCCTAGCATTCTGGTATTCTTTGGTTCCTTCCATCCCTTACTCCTGACAGGTCCCATAGAGTGCAGGCACCTGAGGAAGCATCATTTCGAGATTAGAGTCAGGAGGGCATATGAGGGACCATGGCGCTCTGAACCACAAATCATCCCCAGAAAGTGCTCTCTAATGGAGAAAGGGAAATTATTTATGAATTAAAAATTAATGAATGATTGAGGACACTGAGGTTAGGATTTCACAGGCACAGCCTAATCAGGTGGCTACCTGGTCTACCTTCAGCCCCATCAGGCCCAGTGTTTCCTAATATGAACTGCAGTGCTATGTGTCCATGCACTGCTGTGTGTCTGTGCACTGGAGGGCGGTTTTCAGTGTCCTTATTGCCCCTTATTGGATAGGTGTACCATCCCAGTAGCAGACTGTATTGACGTCTTTTTCTCAGTTGCTACGTGAGTCACTTGTTTCATCTTTCGCTGGCTTCACTGTCTGGTAGATGAAAAGGTTCATGGAAAATCCAGTGCATTTCATGAAAGTCTGTCCATTGTTTTTCCTTTGGACAAAGAAGGATATTGAGTACTAGAGTGAAGTCCTAGAGGGTATTTAAAAATATGACATACATTTTTCTTAAAGTCGTCCATGGTACTTCTAGAGTCCACATGAATGATGTATGTTTGTCCCTTCCAGGCAACAAGCTGTAGCCAATATCCTTGTCCTCACACAGGGGTCCTTTAATAATCTACTCATGCATTTACCAATTTCCTAACCCAGTAGTTAGGCTATTGGAAAACAACTTAAGAGCTGAAATAAAAATGTAGGGAAACACAGGGGTAGTGGTCATCAGCATTGCATGTATCAATAGTTTGATCAATTGGGCAGAACACCTATGCCTAGTCTCAGTCAAAAGATGGCTACTCACCAACCAGCCATATGGCAGCCCATCAAACCCACCTTGTAGTTTCCCAGAGGCATCAGTGCATCATGACGTCATCAGTAGGCACATCTTGAGGGTTAGATTCCAGGTAGTCAGAGGAGCTAGAGCTTCCTTCACCGGTCACTTTTCCCCTTCTGTTAAGTTAGCCATTTATGCATGGAACCTCTTGGCCCTTTGGGGGTCCTGACAGGGCTTGATCATGAATGTACCATTTCCATTTGATAATCATGCTCTGTTGAACCTATCCCATTTTGGGGGGATGGGGGAAGGATTCACAAGCACCTATGTGAAAATGGACAGTTCAGGTTACAATGTCACAAGTGGGGCTCTGGTCATAGGATGCTCAATAACCTTTGCCCAGTAACAAGCAAAAGAGGTATTCTGGTGGGAAAATCTGAGAAACTGGTGCACCCCAGTGGCAGAGACATTCTGTCTCCAGAGCGAGACACCCATCCATATGCATGATGTTTGAAGACACCTGTAATTCCAGCAGGCTAGTAAGCTCTAAATGTCTCAAAGGCAGAGCCTGAGCCATGATTTGTTAAACAGCTTTCAAAGCCCATGGCTGCCAAGGACCTCATTCAAAGTTGGCCATCTTGACTAAAAGAGTAAAAAACATACCTGGGTTGGGTACATCCTGTCTCCTGTTCCCAAATAGACCTATCACCTGTTGACTTTTTATATTAGTGGATGCTGCAAAGACCAACAGTTTTTGCTTGACTGGATCTAGAATGCTTTTTTGGCATCTCACCCAGGTGGCATTGGCATTGAGCCTCCAGTTGTCCATTAATTTTCTTCGTGTCCTAAGCCTTCTTGACTAACCTAACTGGATTGTTACATTGTAACAGAGTGGTTTATATCAAGTTCTGAATTACTACAGCAATTACGTGTGCTACTGCTTTTGTTGAATAACCCTTTGGGGTCAGGATTGGATACGCCCTATTATTATGGCTCTTTTAGTTACGAGGAGCATATACCTTCAAGTGGAGGTGACATTTTTGTGCCACAATTGCCAAAATATCAATACTTACAGTGCCATCAGTGGTGAGAACCGTGGTCACTGGCACCCAAAATGACCCAAAGGGCCCTACCTCAAGCAAATAAGTACCTTGGATCATCACGTATGACCCCAAACTCCCTTATGTTTTCCCTTTCAATTCCTTTTATCTTGACAGCAGTATCAGGCCATTGGCCTCTGGTGGGGACCAGGAAACCTTGGCCCCATGCCTAACTGCACCATTCATCCAGAGACATTTAAATCTGCAATGTTCCTTTATCGAACAAATCAATGTCCCTAAATCAGAAAGCTCACCAATCATCTTGGACTCCACTTCCCTGGCATTTCTCTGTATCTGCCCTCGAGATCGTGAGTCTCTCTTTCTGTTACATCAAGGCCCATGTCTCACATGTGGTTCCATCTCGGGATTGTCAGAGATCATTTGTGCACCTCTTTCTTAGTCTCTCTAAGTTGCCTCAGGCTCCTTCTGAGTCCTCACTTGTCAAACTTGCCGGCCCCAGTACTGAGCAATCACCGACATGCTGCAAGCCAGAGGATCAGTGCTGCTCTTCATTGTTGCCACATCCTGTCTCCACTCAATCCATACAGCCAACTCATTCACATCTCACTGGGA